GGTCATGCAGAAAGGCCTATTACCAGTAAATATATAGGTATTTGATCTGTGGATAAATGTGTGGTGTTATTGTTTAAGTTGTCGTTTTACATTATTGGTAATGTGTACTGAAACCACTGCAGTTTATATTTAACATTTCCCATCTTTATGAGCAAAATGTGAGATACTGTTATTCCTATTTCCTTTCCTTTGTTGAGGCCATTTTTCAATCTATCTTGGAATTAGATCTGTAATGTCATTGGGACATTAGGCTAATCTGATTGGAAATACATATAAAGTATGATGAATGTGACTTTGTGTAGCGCTTACAATATGCTTTCAATATGTCAACAGTTTGGAGTTAAGACTACATACAGCTCATTCTGTATATACTTAGTGTGGATGACATAATGATGTGGATTGCTTGGTAACTATAGTAACATTATGATGTATCTAAAAATTTCAGACTGATTTTATCTTGGCAGCTAGAGCATAATGTTTTATTGCCTCAGTTTTGATCACATCGATATGCTTAAAATGGTTTCTTTGTTTCCTCAATATCAACACAGACCTTTTTTAACCCCATAACCCAAGTTTCAACTTTTGTTATTGTCGTATATGTTTTGTCTATTTGACCAAAATATTCAGTTTATCTGTCTATGCCTTGGCTGTACAATTTGATTAGCAAGGAAAGTTGCTGAAAATATTCATATGTTCTGTACTTTGCGAAGTGTTCAAAGCTACCTGTGGGTTTATAGCTCTTCTTGTGTTAGTCTTTAGTCCTTGTGATGGTATTTCAGTCATTTGTGATGCATTGGTGTCAATAAATTTGCTTTTTTTCAGTATTTTTATCCACACTTATCGATGCCATTTGTCGTAGCATATTTGTGTTCTATTCCATGGGAGGAATCATACATATAGATCTTCTGTGTCAATACAAATCCTAATATCTGAAAATAACAAATTTAATGACACAAAATACATCACAAATGACTAAAATGCCATCATAACTTGTTAGACTAAAGAGAGACACAAGAAGAGCTATGGACCCACAGCTAGTTCGAAGCCTGTTATTAATGAGGTATACGAGGGGTGATCAATAAGTTCTCAGCCTTCCTTGTAAAACGTTACAGAAGAAAGATTTTTCTTACACTATTTTTGCACTTTGTCCATCGATGTACCAGTTTTCCTAAATACAGTCTTAAATACAGTCATAACTGTTTTTTAAAATACTATATGCTCTATTTACTGTACATTATGGAGCAGCCAAGATCAACAAAAAATTGAGTTTATCATAGATAGGTAGATAAATATTTTATTTGACAATCATTTGTTTTTACTGTGTCATCAAA